TACAGCAGCACAACCATTTACGCAGCTATGTAGTCAACAGCTTAGGGAGCCCACCCAATTCAAATCAACCTCATGAATGCTCCTGCAACAAGGAAGAATGCAGGAATTCAGACAGGAAAAGGACACCACCCCCTCTATTGACAAGGGCAACATTTTAAGGGGGTCATGGAATTTTAAAGACCTTCAGTTCAGCTTTGGCTCCTACAGGCCAGACCTTTGTAATGAAACTCAACTTCATTCAAAGCTTTTCCACAAGTCCATGCAAATTTCTGTAACTCATTATCTGACCTCTGAATCTGCATTTTACATCAGAAAACTATCTCCAGCACACTTGCTGATAGTCTCCCTCAAGTACTTGCTGCACTATACTAAGGGGACAGATATATATGCAGATACGGCATTAACTAGCAGTATCTGAAGAGAAGTGAAGAGTTAAGACAACACAGAAGAATAATAGTGAAGCAAGATTAAGAATGGTAAGCACTTCTCCTGACCACTAGGTTCAGGAGCCAAACAATTTTTATACATGTATTTTTCAAGCTTCATCCTCCCACTACAAATAAAAAAAGTTACTACACTACTACTTCTGATCCAAATGCTCATACGTCACTACAGTTACGTACCGTGGTAAATTCCCCTGACAGTTTCAAGGAAAAAACAGAGCAAACATAAGATAAATGCAAATGTTATCAATGAAGTAATTTTTACCAGTTCATTAATATACAGTAGCTTGCTATTTTAAGTATCTTGTGGGTTTCATTCTTTTGCAGATAGTTGAATTGCAGGGGGAGTTATTATCATTTAACTCTTAAAATATTTTAAACATCCCATTTTAAATATGCCAAGTCTTCAAACCAACCTTTTTCAAATCTGCATTATGGCTCTTTAACCCCTATGTCCTACAATTCTTTACCATTCAGACCTTCAGGTTTTCATAAAGAATTACTATTTCAAATTTCAGTAAAGATGACCTAGGAGACAATAGCTTCTTCTGTATTTCTGAATTCACAGTATTTCTACAGATTAGAAGATAACAGTGCTGTGAAATCAGAAGAACAACTGTTAAAGAAAACACTTCACAAACTGTACCTTCAAGCTTGTATTTTATGAATGGGTTTTCAGGGTTCACGGTTCAAAAATAAAATAAAAACTTTGCATGTAACATAATAATCCAACATCCCTCAGCTATTCTTTATTATCCTTTGTTATAAAGGTATTTTAGCGTATGCAGTTTTACGTATGAATCAGAACTTAGTTTCTTCCCTTCTTTCAGTCTCAGCTCACTGAAAAGAGCTGGTGACTACAAAGCCTCTTAAACTACACCAATCAGCTTTATAGTTATTTGCAACACTTTACTCCACAGCCACCTTACCCTTTGTGTAAACCGCAAAAAATTGTCCATTTCCCAACATTTATTTTATGAACAGTTTGACTTGGTCCTCAGTTCACTACAAATTCATTCTGGCATGTAACAAGGGGAGATCGGACTTGAAGGGCAAGAATTAAGCCAGCCTTAACCAAACAGACTTTTCTTAGCCTAGGAAGCTTTATAAAAGCCCAGAACACACTTGTCTCAGTTGCCAGCAAAGGAATAATAATGCATACTTGCTAAAGCATTCTATCTTTATTTATCAAGGCTGACCTTAACATTTGTTTTAATTCCCAACTTTACTGCTCATGAACAGAGAAACTGACAGCCAAAACTATTTCTTTACACACACTACAACACCTCAAAAAGAATGGGGGAAATTTTTTAATTTTTTTTTTTTTTTAAAGAAATCACAAAACCCTAAGGTACCTCTGTGAACACAAACTAGAAAGCCAGCTGTAATGAGAAGTCAAGATAAATAACCAACCATCAAAGAGAAGCAGCCTTTAATCAGACCATTGTGGTCTTGATTTGAATTGGTGAACCAAAAAGTTTCCCACCTCATTATGAGGCCACACTGAACATTTTCAAAATATAAGATTACACTGCATAGCATCTCTCCAAACACACAAAATGCGCTCCTACACTCAGTCAATTGCAACGAAAACCTGAAGGGATGGTACAGAAGCATGAAAAATAGCAGGTTAACTTCCCAGCTGCATGCAATGTTAAGTTTTCAGGGTATGGGAAACAAAACTAAGAGCAGAAAGACAAATCCAGGAGCAAATTATTCTGTACAATTTATTATGACAGCAGAATAATAAAAAAAAATTTTAAAGTTGGGACTGCATCCTATACATTTAAGGGGAAAAAAATAATTAAGATGTCAGCAGCTTATTGTAATTGTATGTACTAATACTTGGTTTAATTGTTTGCAAACTGAGTTCACTGAAGCAGCTTAAGTAAGTTCACTGCACTGACCTTTCTTCAAAGGAGCAAGCACAGGAAAACTCCCAAACGTTAAGAGCGCAGTTTAGAATCGTAAGAATTTATCATGACACTACACATTTTCTGGCAGCTAAATGTCAACAACTGGATAAAACGTAGATTAAACCAACTCATTCTGTGTTGTGACATTCTAGGCAGGTTACATACAGCCAGGATTTTTCTGACAAGTTATCTTTAAATACAAAATAAATTGAAATCAATCTAACTTAGCTATACTGTATACTCTTACCCACCCTTTAAGTGTGTGACCTCACTGTCCTATGGGGCACACAATGTTAAAGTATAATGTGAAATACGAATTTGTCTTACCCTGATTTATGAAAACAGACATAAATTTATAAGGCATTTCACAGAAATAAAAGCCTTGACAGACGCTACTTCAGTTTTATCACCCTTTCAGATTCTCTGCATTGCCCAACAACTACAAACAAGTACCGTCGACGGTGGACTTTGCAATTCTGTCAATACTCTTCCCCAATATTGGAGAAGATCCCGTACAACAGGATCCAAAGTACCTACCTACACACCTGATAACTATTAGAAGTTATACAACAGTAGTTCCCCTATTTCCTTCCCAACAAATTTTAACTGATCATTTGCTTAAAAATAAGCTTGTGTGTGCTTCTTCTGACATTCCCACATTTTAGATAATCATTTTAGATAGATTTTTTGGTTTGAATTACACTAGGTGATGCACAAGTTTGGAATACTAGAGACTCCCATCACTTTTAACATATCTAGCTATTCTAGGTGCCCACAGATTTTGTGAATAACCTTACATGTACAGAAGTATGCAAATAAATGCATCTTCATAAGATAAATACCTTATACACTGAGGTATTTAGTAGAGAGGAGCCTAAAACTGTGTAGACCATGCTTATAGTTCAAGTTTCTCTGAAGTAAACCATAAACTAAGAAATCCAACACCAGCTGAACATAAACTTCTAATCTTCTCTAAACCATATTTTCAAAGAAAGCAGCATTTTCTGTTGTGCCCTTGAAGCCCATCACTTAGCATGGACTTCAGCATCTAATCTACCACAAGAATGTGGTGACCTGCAAAGAAGAGACTGTATTTTGAGTAATATTATTAACCACCACAAAAAGTACTGCCAAAGTATTATCCTTCATTTGAATAAGGGTCTTCATTCTTCCTAATATAAAGCTAAACTCTCCAGTCTGGAGTCACATCAAAAATCTCACCAAAACCAATGGTGTTTTGCTCAAGTCATGACAGTATTTGTTGTACTCAAACCAACATCACAGCAGCACTTTGGTGAGTCACACTTAACACAGCAACTATGATTCAAAAGGTAAAAAGACTTAACAGTTATTTGTTATGTTCAAGGCTATACATAAGGCAACGATAGCACATGAGGTGCTCTATAAAACAAATGAAGATTAAGTTAGCAGCATTTGACAAATCAGGATATTCAGGTACTTGAATAACTGCCTGTAAAGTTGTCATCTACACAATACAGCAAATACTTTAAACATCAGAAAAGTAAACAAGTGTGAACAGCAATATGAAAGAGAAAACAAATATATTTCTATATAAATACTAGAACAGTTCTTTCTACACTAAGCATGAACCCTAGAGTTCAGCAATTCTTTCAGTCATTTTTTTGGTGTAGCTTTCCCTTTGCTGTATTTAGCAAGCATTTCCTTCATCATTCTTTTTTCTTCCAGATGTCAAGAACAGTCATTTTTCATTTAGTTTGAAAAGAAATTTATCCAACAATTTACTCACTTCCTCTCAGAAAATCAAATGGTCTTATTTTACTAACATAGGATACAATTACCCTGTGAACTAGATGCTCGTTTTTCAACAGATTCAGTACAGTTGTGTTGAAACTAAGCTACATTATAAATACAGTTCCTGCGTATATGAAGTTATATCCCTATTTCTATATGATGTAAGGCTAGGTAATGTTGCTGCCAAGAATTACATTAGAACTCTCACATCCACAAAACTTTTGAAAGACCTTTAAATACTCAAAACAGTTCGCTAAAAGGAGATTATCTTACCCATCAGATACGGCCTAAAACAAAACTTATGGTGTCTTTCATCTGCTTTTTTTTTTTCCCCCCACCAAAACAGATCTTAAGTCACAGTTTTCTATGGCTCAGATCTTTCCAATGCATGCCAAAATTCCTTTGGGATCAGACCTCTATACTGGAATTTGAGTAAAAAATTTATTTTTTCCCATAAAATGAAGTCCATTCATTTTATGTTGGATTTTTACCAGCTATTTTAATTTACTGGACGGTCACATATTTTGGAGGTCTTGGGTTTGTTAAGAAATTTTCCTCTCAGAGCTACATGTTTTATTTATACTGAAAAAAACAAACATCAGCTTGTTACAGAACTCACCTTCTTGGAAATGATACCAGACTACCAACACAGAAGTCTTACAGAACATACACTGATCAAAAATTTGCAGATTAAGAACAACATCTGCCAACTCTCAGCTTTATTTGGTTATTTTTAAAGGACTGAAGAGACAAAACTCAGTATGAATATTTTTGAGGAAGAACCACCTTCCAAAACCCACTACAGAAGTACATTTCTTCTTAACTGCAAGCGAAGGGTTTCTTTTTCTTAAAAAAGAAAGCTACTCACTCATGACTGGAAACTTCTTTGCATATAATCCAAGACAGGTCTTGAAGCAAGGTATCTTGTTGGAGAAGGTTTCTCAGAGGTATACATGTCCTGATGATGGTAGGAAAATAAAGAGACAAATCAATTTTTCAACTTCAAGTAACTGGAGTAAATGTTTATATATACACTGTCTTTCCTACTACCTTTTCATCCTCCTTATTAAAAAAAGGAACACAAATATGTGTTTGTTATGACTGAGGAACTTTACTGCTTACGGATATATTTTGAAGTTTATCAACTCAAAATGTGTACTTTCTTCTAACACTCATATTATAAACCTGTGTTCATAAAATATAACTGCTCCCAAAAGATAACAAACATTCTTAAGTTAAAAGTACAAGACTACAATATGGATACAGTTACTGAAAATACCATCAAAATAGTATTTTCCTTCAGCAACCTCAGCTAGCAAGAAGATGTGTTTAAAGAGTGTCTTCATATTGCAAGAGCCACAAATAAGTCTACTAAATAAGCATGGGTTGGCATTAGCATCCAACACTTCCTCCTCAGAAACAAAACCTGAAAAAGTTACCATTTCTAGCAACTGTAAACCATCAGATCAGTCAATTCATAATGAAAATGAAAAAAAAAAGATATCCAAGTAGGGCAGATATGGGATCACTAACAATAGGCCTGGCGCTCCCCAAAGCGAAATACAGAAGACTTAATCTCCAACAATGACAGCACAGCAAGTACATTTTGGAAAATTTATTATATAATCTCCATCCTGCTGCTAAAAGCAAGTTTCTACAAGTCTGATAGAACAGTTAAACAAAAGTAACTTCACCTGACAGCTGAGATGAAAAGAAAAACCCAGACATATCTATTAAGCTACAAAGAGTTTTCCTCTAATACCTGCACAAATAGAGTTTCTGTAAATTAAGGAATATTATGCGATCTATTTCCTCTTTTCAGAGCCAATTAGAACTTGCTGAACTTGACCACCTGTGCTAATCCAGCCAGATAATATCTTGTGCCGACTCAGATTTCAAGTCTCAACTCTCCTGATCTCTTAATATTTAAAAAAAGATAAAATACAAAAGGACAAAAGAAGAGATCTAACTTTTTCTGAAGTATGACTTGTGTAACATTCACAGACTTCCAGCACATGCCAAAGAAGTAGAGGAACTATCATAGGACTGGATTCACATCACAAGAAGGCTCCTATATCAACTGCTAAACAAATTAAAAAAAAAAGAAAAACAAACAAACAACAAAAACCCCACCAACACAACACACCAAAACCACCCACACACCACAAAAAAATCCAGCTGCCAAAAGGAAGCCTTCGGTAATGCTGCAGACTGAAAATTACAACCAACTTTTTTTGCATTGAAAAAGTAAAACAGGGAAGAAGCTTAATAGGGGAAGAAAATGGTATCAAACTGAAGAAATACATATACAAACATTATAAAAAACCCACAGATGAACGCAAAGCCATTAGAAAGTGCAATCACTGAAGAAAGTTCAAATTGCAGGTCCTGTCAATTCTCTATGAATGGTTGCTAAATTAAATATTTAAGCACACACAGCCTAATCAAAAATAAAGTCTCTGGCTAAAACATATCATTAGAACAGCAGTCTTGATATCAGTAATCAAAAGGAAGCTGACAAAATTAGCAAATACAACTTGACATGACATTTAATTATTTACTGGACTAATTACAGCTATTATGTTAAGAACATCAAATGAGTCATACAGACGGGCCTCAACCCAGGTCCAAAGCACTTTTGACCAGAGCTCCGTACTACCTTTGGGCCCAAATTGTTCTTCAATCTTACGCAAAGTCAACTGGAAGACTGGAGTCTCCCATCCAACCTGATTTTCCAAAGGTATGGTCTCACCTTAGTTTTTTAAATATGAGCTAACAATATTTTGCCTCAGAGACAGCGCGTTACATGATATTTTATTGTGTGGACATACAGGAAAAGGCTGTTCATTAGGAAAAAACAAAACATCAGTTCTGAAAACCATTTAAGGCTAATAATAGCATAATTATGCACCATATCATTTATAAAAATCTAGTCACGTAACACTCAGGAAATGAGTAGGGGAGAATATAGCAGCTATATACTACCTAAAAACATATGTCATAACCATGAAAAGTGAATGTTTTGGTACACCACACAACTTGAACTCCAACTTCCAGCTATAAAATGTTACTCCTATCTTGCCTTCTGTGTCTAAATATTTTGCTTAGCTATTGCTAGTATCTGTTTACCAGCCAATATGGACTTCTGGTTGAATTCAGATTTTGTTCTTTGAAATAACACTGCATATGTACTTTATAAAATTGCCCTGGCTCACAACTTTGTAATTGTGCTAAAGGCCATTTACTTGGACTATTTGAAAGTGCTTAAGTCCCTATAAAAGAAAAGTTTAATCTTTATCTGTAATTTCTAGTATAGCAATAGCAAGCAGTATCAGAAAGTCAGGAAAAGTCAACACTGCCAAATATCAGAAAGTCTGTACTTTGTACTGCATTACAATATTGACACTTTTTCCTAAGGATATGTGTTAGAAACTAAATGGTTACTACTTAGCTCTCTCAGTCAACCACCTGATTTATTTCAACCCTCGTAGGGTTCTCTCCTGCACAGAAACACTACCAACTATTACAGAACAGAGAAAGAAAGACTATTACTTGTTGAATGTCTTGCTGAAAGATACCATCTTGGAAAAACTGTCTTTTTATTCAAAATAGTACCCAACATCCTTTATGCTTTCCCTTGCAATTAACAAGGCTATAAAAAAAAACCCAAACAAAACCCACACATACCTTTGATCCTTCTCTTTTCCTGAAGAGCTAACCCTCGTATTCCACCGTTTCCTCTACTAACACACATCTACTAGCCCTTGGTGGTATTCACCTTAAGGAGTTGTGAAACTATCAGCATTTTAACTTAGATTTGAAAGGAATACCTGAAGCAAGAGAAGCTCTTTACAACTTCCAATTCAAGCACACTAATATTACATTCAATTTTCTGTTTCCACACCTAGTGCCAGATCTCTTTCTTACCCAATACTCTGTTTCAGGAGAATTAACATGAGCCAGATTGCAAGTAAATTACAGCATATTGTAATTCTATGCGCTATGACTCTACCCAGAGAAAATATTTTCCTTTAAGTTCGCAATTAAAGATTCAGGTCTAGTCTGTGTGTGTTATTGTAGTATCTACTTAACTTAGATGCTAAGGAGTTAACATTAAGAATTTATATCCCCATTTCCCAAGAACCAGAAATCACAGGAGAAGCATGCAACTGCACTGTTTAAACACACACACAAAGACAAAATAGTCTAAAGCGAGCCTGCCTGGCACAAAGCAGTATTTCACTGTCATTTACTTTCTTCTTTAAACCAAAATGTTATGGCCCCTCAAAGACAACAGATACAGAGATTTCAGAAGCACATGTTTTAGGGTTTTATAGATAGCTGGCTGGCAAAACATTAAGTCTGAAATTATTGGTTTCTGTGCTCTATAATCAGAGGGCAAAAGAATAGCCGGTTAAAGGGCAGTTCTACTAAAATACTTATTTTACACTGCATCCAAGTTGAATTAACTTCAAAGTTACAATCAGTAACAACAGAAGTTAAGAAGAAGCAAAAGTAAGTCACTTAAGAGCACAGCTATTAAAAAGAACATAGTAAAAATTCCTAATATACCACCAAGCTTCTGAGCATCGCAGCTCAGTAAAATGCTCCAGACAGAGCAAATGTAAAATTCACAACCAAGTAAGACTACTACTGTTTAAGAACCTACACAAAATCATTGACTGGCCACAAATGAGGAAGAAGTACAAATGAAACAAGCACAATGACACACCCTCCTCTTTGTTCATAGCAGGAATATTTACACTACAAAGTGCTGAAGCAAATTGCTTTTAGTTTCAGGCACTGCTGATTGGCCACCGTATTTAATATACACACGCCTAGCAGAGTTTGAGTTTCGACTGTCACACAGCAGCTCTAGATTGCAGGGTACGCATCAAGCTAAATAACTATAGAGAACAATTATTTAATAGAATTATTCTAATTGAACGGATCCCCCACAAAATACATTTGTTGTGAACAAGGCAGATGCGCATGCGCTTTCATTCCACTGTAATTCAGTGAAAGCTAAAAACTAGTTACACTCATAGCCAGCTTTCTGTGCAGCTGCCTGCTCCAAACAGAGAACGGCACAAAGAAAGTTATTCTCAAGTGTATGCGGGCAAACGACTGGTACAGGAGTTTGGCAACAGAGCTTGAAGTCACCACTTGACTCCCATTCAGCTGGCAGTTCAATGGCTTGGGTGGTTTTCCTACAGGCAACCATCCACACCACAGAAAGAACCCGAAACATCTGATAATTGGCTCTTTAGCTGATAGTCCCGGCAGAGACCAAGGACCAAAGGAGGGTTATGGAGACTGAAGTCTGTTGGCAGCACAGCCTGTGGGAAGCACACAGGACTGCGGGCCCTTCTGTACGGAGCGCGGCTCCCAGCCTGGCACTTTTCACCACGTACCTGAAGTATTAGGAAAAGCAGAGGAGGGAGCAGGTACAGAGAGCAGCAGTGCCAGAAAGTCACATTAAAACAAGGGTTCGGCCATCCAAAGCCTCCCTGCTCCCGACAGGGGTTGATATTACAGCCTCCCACCTTGACAGAAAAGGGGGGCCCTCACGAAGGCCCCAAGGGGTGTCCGACCCACAGCCGTGCCCCCCCCCCAAACACCCTCCCCCCCCAGACTCTCCCGCCTCATCCTCATCCCCGTTCTGACTGCAGACGTCCAGGCCGCCACAGCCCCCCCCCACTCCCCTGAGGGGAGCGCACCCCTCTACCCCCCTGCTCGGGGGTACCTTCCCCCGGGGCGGCCCCCCCATCGCCGCCACACCTCACTCGAGCCTTACAATGGGACCCAGGGGCATCTCGAACAGGGCCTCCCTAGGGCTCCCTCAGCACTCTCGGCTCGGCTCGGCTGCCTCCCGCGTCGCGCCGGCTCCCCACAGCTCCCCACACGCTCCCCCCGCAGCAGAAATAGTAGGGACCCTCCAACCACACACCCACACACCCCTCCGCTGGGAATGGAACAGTCTGAAGCACCCCCCTACCCTCCGGGAGCCGGCTCCCGCCTCTTCCACCTCCCCACCCCCGCGGGTGGTACGCGCATCCCGGGCTCCCCCCGGGGGGGAGGATGGTATTGCCCGCCTCCCCTCAGCTCTCTAGGAACTGGGTCCCACCACGCCCGCTTCAATGGAGAGGTCCGGCGCGGCATCTCCCACACACACACGCCCGCCCCCCCCAGCGCCCCGGGAATGGAAGGGTCCAGCCGGCCACCCCGCCGCGCTCCCTCACCCCGGGGGTCCGCACAATGGCCGGACGTCCCGGCTCGCCCCTACCTTTGCTCGGCTTCCTCCTCCTTCCGGGGCCTCCGTCCGCCTTCCTCCCCAGCGGCGCTTCCCTGCTTGCTACCCTGGGACCGGCGGCCTCCGACCAGGAAGTGCCCCGGTGTGACACCGGCGGCCGCCGCTAAGGAAACCCTCCCCGCCCCTCCCCCGCCGGCGCCGTCCCACAGGGCTGACCCGCCGCCGCCGCCATCTTGGACTCACAACGAGGCGCGGAGGTGGCCGACCCCGCCGCGCTCTCTGCTGCCGACGCCATCTTGGGCTGGTAACGAGGCCTCGGCGGCTCCGGGCGGGCCGGTGGCCGGGCGGCGCGGGGAGCCGTCCCTCGCCGAGGCCGGAGCTGCTGTGGCAGCCGTAGGGATGGGCGCCCGGTGGGACTCAGGTGTTTGGCCCCCGGGGCCGAGCAATGCTGCCGCCAACACCCAGCTCAGGCATCAGCCGCAGGCTGAGCCCGCGGGTCAGCGCTGAGGCACCTGGCAGAGGCGGGCGTCCTGTGGCAAAAAAAAGGGGGAAGAACAAAACGGGCCTTGTGCCCCTCGGATTTACCTTGGGTAGGCCGTGCTGCGTGAACTACCAAGACGCTCCTTCAGAAAAGCCCGTTTTGCTGTCTTGGTTTTCTCTGGCAAACCACTAGCATTGGATGTTGGAGGGTTGAAGTACAGCTTTATGGGTGAACTTCACAGGCTTGTGTGCAAAAATGCGACAGGATCAGCCGGGTTGCTCGTTCCAGCTCTCCTGGCATCCAGCACGCATCACAGGAGGGATGACTTTGATCCCAGCCTCACCTCTTCCTTAAGCAGAGTGCTCCCACTCCCTCTGTGCAGATTACTTACACGTATACATCCCTGTGCTTTGCATGGGGCAGCAAACCAAGCTACAAACAAAACTGGAAGGGAGGAAGCATAGGAATGCGACAAACAGCTGCTTGAGGTTATTCGACATCTCAAATGCCACAGGGGTGTCATGACCAGAAGGGGCGACTGGTTTAAAAAGAAAACCGTTGTGGTTAAGAGGGAATTTGGAGTAGCAGTAAAATATGATGTTACATTTGAAGCAAGATTAAAATAAAACAGTAGTTAAAATGTACTACCAAAGGACATCCAGTAATGATACAAAGAGAGCAATGTTCAGTAAACGTTTTGAGTGTTTTAAACAGTCCCGTGTTTGTGTAATAATTATGTTTAAATACTTCCTATTCAAATAGTAACCAAGGAATTTAGCATAATCTACTAAAGATAAACTCTTTCAAATAAGCAGTTCCAGACAATTTGCACTATGAGTTGTGGGGCCCTCAACTTCCGATACTAATTTTTGCTAAATCTTGTAATGGAAGGACGTTTCATGACAATTTGTAGAAAGTGTTGCTCCATTCTTCCAGGGTAGATTGGATGAGCTGAATAATTATTAACTGGTTAGCCGAAGATCAGTAAATCTCCTCCACAGATAACTCCATTTTTAATAGGCTTTCTGTCCTCAGAGTTCTCTCTCATTTTAGGTGAAAAATGGCCTGAATAATGTTACTTCTGGAAGAACTGGAATTACAGTCCCTGACATAGGAAACACCCATGCCAGCACATCTCACTGCTCTGAGAATCTAGGAAAGCTATATAGCTGTGTATGAGCATGGTTGCATATTACATTCATTTCATGTAGGAGAAAATGGCTAAAGGCAGTAAGACATAGCAGCTCAAATCACTTTTGTCTAAATGTTTCCTCTCCTTGTGCAGAGGAAGTGTAACAGAAAACAGAAATTATTTATTGCTTTGCAGTACATTTCAGAAAGTAATTGTGATTAACTAGCCTGTCAGTATCCCATAAATCCCAAGAGGGATACTGTGGTTGGATCTGACTCCTTCCAATTTCAAGTCTTAATTGTCTTTTTAAAAATTTTAGAAGGTGGTATAATATAAAAACATACTTAGCTTTCTTCCAGCTGGGGATTTGTTTCCTCCCAAAATGGCTAATTAGTTAAGATAAATGTCTTCCACAGGGAGCTCTCTACTTCATCTGAACCATCTCATCTCTATTTCATACATTCTCAAACTATATATCATCATTTTTGTTTCCCCATATGCTCATTGTTTCCTGTTGTACTGCTATAACTAGGATGTGGAACAGTTCTAAAATCACAGCTTTCCAAGTGGCTGACAGTGATATCATACTTGTTTTATTGCTACTCCCACATACAAATCCTGCAATATCATTTCTACCAACACTTCGTTTCTTATTACAGTTCTTAGTCTGAGAAAGTATATGCAATCATTGTTATTTAGAATGCCTAAAGATCTATGTGGCATTGCAAGAACATAGAGGAGACATTGTCTGTGTCTTTGCTGTCTTTGCAGGAGCGTGCCCAGGGAAGTAGGCATGGTTCTCCACAATCTTTGACCACTGTTATATCTACACTGCTCTCAAAACTAGTCCTGTATGTAGCCTGCTAGCTGACCCCATACTGCTTGGCTTCGTGCAATTCCCAGCATGCTGATTTGTTCTCCATCTCATGTAGGTAGGATGAGCAGTGTGGGTTACGTGGTAGAAAGCTTGCCTGTGTCAAGTCCATCTGCTCTCTAAATGGCAAAGCTGCAGTTTGCTCGCTGAGTGTGAACTTGGACTGGAGAGATGTAAGGCACATTTGGATTTCTGTTGGGCATCACGTTTATGATACAGTCTAGAACTTTTCATGAAATTACATTCTGAACTGGTAAAACCTGTTAGTGTTAGGGAACGTTCAGTGGTTACCTCAAAAGATGACCTGGTCTGTGTTTAAGTTCAGATGTTGCAGCCACCTACAGCTGTGACTGAAGACATAGAAGTGAAGACCTTGCAAACTAACACTTCATCTCATCAAGCCTGCACTTAAGATATACCGCATCAAGATGCTGGGCACTCGGCATGGCCACTGACATTACTTGGCAGCAATATTACAAAGCCGGAGTCAAAAGAAGAGAGTATTAACATTCCCTTTTAAAGTATCCTATTCCCCGTAACGTTGCAATCCTTCCTACTGGACTTCAAAGGAATACAAGAATTCATATTGCAAAAATTATGAGATTTTCATCAGCAATTATTTCTCAATGTGCTTTGCCCGTTGTTTTTTTTTTAAGCTATGAAGATTATGAAACCCATTCTCTTCAATAAAACAGCATTTTTAAAAATTAAGCAGAACACAAAGCATGTGTGCAGAATTATATGAGCTAACTGCAACATCTCATGGAAATAAATTTGTCTCTCTTCAAGTTCTGTTTACAGTCTGACCTTACTCTATCGGTGGGCTTCCTAGCTGAATCAACCCTGTGAGATTTGAGTCTTGCAATGCGACAAGGGAATGAAGTTGATGGCCCCTCAAGATTCCTTCTTGAGCTTCTTTCTTCCTTCCTGGGCTTCCCAAGTCTTCAGAGTACACTCAGCTCTGCAGGGCTGTGTGCTTACTGGTACATATGTCTTTTGCCGTCAACTGCCTCAACAAGTCACTGATAGAGCTGTAATCCCTGAGAAAGCAAGGTTTCAGAATAACGATGGCTTTGAAAATCAAAACCCAGGCTTTGAATAGGCAATTGTAGACTGGAAGTCCATGAAAGTTTTGGAGCACTTGCGGTGGTGGCCTATCCCAAAGGCAGCCCATTGGGCTAAACATATAAATTGACATAAGGACAGGGCTGTGGCCCTGAAGAGCTTGATTTTGACTTTACATTCTGTGAACTGAAAAGACAGCAGTTAGTAGAAGGTTGTGGGTCCTAAAATAATTTTTTAAACTGTTTTGGACTGTTCCTTTTCAAATTGTGTTTATGCTTTAGGTTTGGCTTAGCTTCTCTGGTGTGTAGGGTTTCAATGTATTTTCTGTGGCATATGGCATTTCCACTTCTACTTGCAGATCGTTTTTAAGGCACATGAGCTAATGGGTTTTTTTCTGTGTCACTCAAAATACGAACTATTTATGCACAAGCATGTACCCCAAGAGTGAGTGACTCAGAAGATCCTGCAGGCATCTGAACAAATACAAGCCTCTCTATTAGTCTTAAATTCAAACAATTGCCTGTTCAACCTCTGAGGCTTGTCACTTTTAAAACCTACGCTAATCATTACAAAGGATATCACTCAAAATATCTGATTTGATATGAAGTGTTTATAGGACTATGAACAATAGGTGGCAGATGGCTATTCTTTCCATTATCATGAAGTACATCAATATTTTATAAGATTAAATGTGCTCAGCTGCTATACCACCTGCTAGTTTTGCTTTTGTTTATTTTCCCCAAAATGAAAGTTGTGGGTGACTGTGTTTCAGGTGTTACTTTCAGTCCATCACTTGCCTGATCATGTCATAGACATTTCCAGGATCTTAGGACCAGCCAGTCCTGCAGCACTGATGATTTAGGCAGAGGTTTGCCTGTATACGCGCGGTAGCATCAGCCCACCATCTTATACTGAAACACTGCATTATATTGAGGAAGGGATCTGTTAAAAGCAGGGATGGGAGTGGGACTCGAAGCAGGAGGGTTTGCCCTTTGCTTCATTGTTGACTGCTGATGTAATTTTTCTGGCTGCCTAAAAGACTGTGTTCTCTTCCTTTTGGTTCTGATTGTTCGCTTGCCCTCACTCAGTCCCATTGTCTACAGGCTCCCTTGGTTTGCTGAGGTTCAGGTTTCACTGATTCAGGCCTTTCTTCCTGCTTTTGGTGGCTCCTGCCGTGGGAATCAGATTTGAATGTATGCAGCGCTTGCTGTCGCTGCCTGATAAAAGGGGCTATTTCTGTCCCCTCTGTCTGTCAAGACAGATTTTCTTCATCTCCTTCCTTTTTTCCCAAATTTTCTGTCTCCTCTAGGACTTTCTTGCCTTTTTCCATTTGCCTCATTCTGTTTTATTCCTTCCATTACTTCAGTATTCTCTCATTTCTTTCTCTCCTTTTAAATGTTGATTTAGCTTTCAGTATTCTTTTATCTATGAAAAGTACACATAGAACAAAGTTTAATACACTCATACAGTACAATACAACTTTTGAAAATGTTTCCTTAATACCAAGTAGTTTTTCAGTGAATAGAAAAACATCACAATACCAAAAATGTGTCACTTACCTGTATAT